AAACTTTTTTGGTACTCAAACTACAAAAAGGAACACAAACATGTTTTGTGTCAAAGAAATGACAAGGAAATTCCGCATAGCATGTGGAATCTTAGGAAAAAGTTGTTTACGACTAATACGCACAATAGTTCCTCTCTTTTGGTACCAAAAAGGTGATAAGTAGCTTCCTTGATCAAATAAGAAGTGATAATTTGGAAACACATTTATTGTCCACATTTAATGCACCAACTGACACCTTCATCCTCAAGATCAAAGATGAAGACGAACGAAGCAAGCTTATGAGAGACGCTCAAAGATTTGCAACGATCATCTTCATAAAACACCTATATAAAAAGCTTAAAAATTCAAAAAGAATAAAGAAAATTACTCGCATATATAGATATACATAGAAGAACCACAATTGTAGAAAATTCATGTACATTTTTTCTATAAAAGCTTTATATTTAATTGGTTGTTTTATGTCTTGACAGTAAGATAAAACAACAAAGTGATTTCCTAGCTTTAACTTTACATTATTGCTTTGAGCTTAAAGAGACTTGATTGTAAAAGAATACTTAGTTGTTGGAGGCTGAAATGACTTGACTATAAAAAAAATACTTGGCTATTGAAGCTTAGAGAGGCTTTATGTTCAAATAATACTTGGGTAGTGGTTTGAAGAGGCAAGTTAAAGAATACTTAATTTGAGTTAGAAGTGACTTGTGAAGAATACTTGTATCTTTGTAAAAGATAGTAGAACTTGATCAAGTTGATCAAGAAATGGATGTAGTCTCGATGGTTGAGACGAACCAGTTTAAAACCACTATGTGTGCTTCTCTCTTAACTTTTCATTTGCATTCATAAGACTTTGTAACTACTTCATTGTTTCGTAAAAGTGTTGAGTTTTTTATTGACGTTATTCAACCCCTTTTTGTGTCTTTTTTTTTCTCCATAGACACTATTTTAATAAGTGGATGAGCAAAGAAATGCATTGTGTACCTGCAAAGAGGATAAACCAATGATCTTCTCGCAGTTTGAAGGCCGAACGAGTGCTCCAATCCGATGTGAGTAGAGGGGTTGTTACCTGCAAAAGGCACTCCAACGCACAAGTCAGGACAAGCACAAATATCTAGGATAATTAATGAACAGTGACGTTACCTTTTGACCTGAGCTATTTATACTGACATTTATGGGCCCTGGACCCCATGGGCCTTGCAACATAATTACCGTATTAGGTAATACACTTTAATCGGCTAATTAACCCCTAATATCTGATTAAGCATACCAAGTGATGATAGGCCGATCCAGGTGGCCGATTGACGTTCGGCTAACTGGTCATGCCATTCGGCGGCCGATAGGGTGGTGGCCGAACCCTCCTACCTGTACACTACCCCCCAGCCTTGAAGGAAGGTGAAGCTTTCTTTAAAGGTAAAACGGAGACAGTTACTAGGGTAAGGTGAACAGTTGCGTACTTGTAACCGTTGGATCTCGGGAATCGAACGGTTACGTATTTTCAAAACTTGAATTTTCCCGCCCGTTTTTTGAGCCTATAAATAGCTGCGTGGTAGGGCCATTCACACATATTGCTCTCAACCGAATTGTGGTAGCCGAAGGTCTCTGAAGCCGATCCAACTAACGATTGTGATCCTTTGAAAGAATTGGTAAGTTGTTATCGCCATGGTTAATACTTCTACAAGCTCATCGGTCGGCAGCTCCCGGTCGTCGTCGTCCGAGGGGTCCTTGTCTAGTGCTTCAAGTCGTCCAAGTGCGGTTCGGTCTCCAGTTGACGTCAAAAGGCCGGATGATGATGTTTCTTCTACAGGGGAAACTTCTACCAGCGGGAGTGAAGAGATTCAAGAGACGACGAAATGCGTATCGAATCGGCAGCGGTACGGTCCATCCGATGTGCCGGGTTACAAGTGGGTCAATGGGGAGGTAACCTCCTACTACTCACGTTATCGAGACACGGGCATGATCACCAACCTGCTGGATTACACCAAATGCTTGAACTTTGACGCCACTGAGGCTCCTTATCCGATTGGAGTTCGGTCATGCCGGAATAACGCCTTTCCGAATCCTGACATGGTCTGTCTTGATCAAAGTGGAGCGAAGATGGAGTCGTTCTATATGTACGATTGCCTCCTTCGAGATCTCAAGGTCAAGCTGCCGTTTGACGAATTTACTATGGGGGTGTTGAGAGTGCTAAACGTTGCCCCTACCTAATTGCACCCGAATAGCTGGGCGCAATTGCAAGGTTTCAAACACCTGTGTAAGTGTATTGACATTAAGCCCTCTCCACTCCTCTTTCTGTATTTCTACTCGTCTCGGCCTTCTGTCTTGACGAAGTGGCACTCCTTAAGCCGAGTGGGGGATCGACTACTACTGGATAGTTTCACTTCATCATATAAAAACTTCAAGGCCGGTTTTTTCCGAGTGACTATCAGGCCTAATGGACGACGCTTTTTCTTTGACAAGGACGAGAAGCCTCGGTTTCCACTATATTGGACTCGTACCCCTCGGCCTTACGACGTAGTGCCGAAAAAGATGCTGACGACCGAAGAGTAGGAGGACCTGAAGTTATTACTTCGTCTTCCTCGGTGCTTGCCGACTAGGTCTTTAATTAACTTGGTTGAATCTTCACGTTGGTGGAATGACCTGATAGGTATGTTATCTGTCCTATTTCGACTGTCAATTAAATTCCTACTGATGTTTACCTAACCCTTTTTGTAGGAATCATGGTTACCAGCGGCGCCAACGAGCTGAATATTCGCAACTTGCTTGCTGCTCGGGCGAGGCAAGTCAGACAAGCCGGGGGTGTAGGCACTTCGGAAGTTGCACGCACCCCCCGACTAGATAATGATGACCGAACGCCTCCTTCTCCCAAACGCAAAAAAAAGAAGGGAAAAAAGGGAAAGGAGACCAGTCGGGAACGTCCTAAAAGGAAAGGCGCTGAGGAAAATCTAGAACGTGCTAAGAAGGCCAAGTCAGTGCCCGAGGCATCACCCAATCGGACTGTGATTGTGGTGCCACCTCAGCTAATGTCTCGTGCCTTTCTTGGTGACGATGTGTCGACCGAGACGATGATTCGGCCTGACATTGTGTCTCCTTTCGGGCAGGAGTTCTTGGCTAGCCTAGATGCAAGAGCCAAGTGGAGACTTTACTGCGAGGTGCAAACTCGCTCATTGGCCCTAGCTCATCACCTAGCCATGGAACCCATCGGCGAGGTGGTGCATCTGAAACAAAGTTTAGAGGAGGCCGAGAGGACTGCCGCCAAAGCTATCGCGGTGAATGAAGAAGTGACAGCCAAAAATCGGGAGCTGTCGGCCGAATTGGATGCTGTTCGGCGTGACAATGATACTCTTCGTCTGAACCTTCAAAAAGCAGCTAATGAGGAGCGGCACCGACTGGAGGAGGCTCATGCGAGTACAACTGCCTAAAGGAGCAGGCGAAAGAGAAGATTGTTACTCAACATGAAGCCGGGTTTAAACACGCTGTTCGGCAGGCCAAGCACTTCGGCCAATTTGAATAGGGCTTCGAGTTTGATATGACCCAAGATTTTTACCAAGGGTCATTGATGTCTTTTGCTGATATGCCTGAAGGGGCAAATCCCGATGGGGAAAAGCCAGAGGATGCCCCCCAGGCAGAAGATGCCGAAACCTCTTCCGAGGAAAACACCATGGATGAGGGAAACCCGGAACCCGAGAATGAGGCCGAAGGAAATCCCGAAACTGTCATTCAAGCCGATGCAGCCCGAACTCCGGAAGAGTAGTTTAGTGTTTGATAGGTCTTATGTAACTTTTAACTTTTGTTTGAACAAGTGTAGACCGGGGGCCGATAGAGCCTCCCTTTTTAGAATGTAATGATATTGTCTCGTTTTGACTTGTGTCTTTAATACGTCTTCTTCATTCGAAGTACTTGTCAAATTTGCACGTAAGACTTAAGTAATAAGTAGCCGAATCGGTATTATTGTTTGTAAAAATGAAAAAACACTTGTATTCTGGAGCAAGACCGAGTGGAGTCCCTCGGAATTGCCTTGTCTTGCTAGCAAAACCGAGTGGAGGTTACTCGGAATTGTTTTTCTTGCTAGCAAAACCGAGTGGAGTCACTCGAAATTGCCTTTCTTTTTGAGCAAGACCGAGTGGAGGTCACTCGGGCTTGCCTTGATTTGCTGGCAAAACCGAGTAGAGGTCACTCGGAATTGCCTTGTCTTGCTAGCAATTCCGAGTGGAGGTTACTCGGAATTGCCTTGTCTTGCTAGCAAAACCGAGTGGAGTCACTCGGAATTGCCTTGCTTTGTTGATTCTTGGGCAAGACCGAGTGGATTTACTCGGAATTGCGTTGCTTCTTGGGCAAGACCGAGTGGATTCACTCGGAATTTGTGTTGATTCTTGAGCAAGACCGAGTGGAGGTCACTCGAAAATATGCTACTTATGAGCAAGACCGAGGGAGTCATTCGGAATTGCGCTACTTCTTGAGCAAGACCGAGTGGATTTACTCGAAGTTGCGTTACTTCTTGAGCAAGACCGAGTGGATTCACTCGGAGTTGCGTTGCTTCTTGAGCAAGACCGAGTGAATCCACTCGGAATTGCGTGATTTTTCGAGGCACATCCTTGTCCGAGTTGATCAACTCGGGAGGGAAGCCTTTTGTGCGATTTCAAGGAAACCAATACTCCTATTGAACCGGAAAAGAGAAGTGAAAAAGAAAGTCCACCAGCTGATAAAGATAGATATCAAAGCCTAGTTGGGAAGCTAATCTACCTAACTCACACTAGGCCTGACATTGGTTTTATTGTGAGCTTAGCTAGTCGGCAAAAGGGTTTACCCAATCATATGGAGTGGACTACGAAGAGACTTTTGCGCCGGTGGCCAAACTCAATTCAATTCGAGTCATACTCTCTTTAGCTGCAAATTTAGATTGGCCACTCCATCAACTAGACATCAAGAATGCCTTTCGAAACGGTGAACTTGAAGAAGAAGTCTATATGCAAATTCCCCCGGGACTTGAGTCATCCAGAACCTCAAGCATGGTGTGCAAGCTCCGAAAATCTCTATATAGCCTTAAACAATCTCCGAGAGCGTGGTTTGATAGATTGACTCGAGTTGTCAAGGAAGACGGGTTCAACCAATGCCAATCAGATCACACTATGTTTGTCAAACACTCCGTGGAAGGGAAGGTAGCCTTGTTCATTGTTTATGTTGACGATATCGTTATCACAGGAAACGATTATGATCAAATCAAGCATCTGAAGGGAATTTTGGCCAAGGAATTTGAAGTCAAGGACTTGGGTCAGCTCAAATATTTTCTAGGGATGGAAATTGCTCGAACAAAGAATGGTATTTATGTATCACAAAGGAAATATACGTTGGACTTACTTCAAGAAACTAGCATGCTTGGATGCAAGGCAGCCAATACTCCCATTGAACCGGAAAAGAGAAGTGAAGAAGAAAGTCCACCAACTGATAAAGATAGATATCAAAGCCTAGTTGGGAAGCTAATCTACCTAACTCACACTAGGCCTGACATTGGTTTTGCTGTGAGCTTAGCTAGTCGCTATACATCTAATCCAACTGAGGCCCACATGAAAATGGCGAACAGAATCCTCCAATATCTCAAAGATACACCGGGTCGAGGGCTCTACTTTAAAAAGAACTCAAACAAAAGCATTGAAGTCTACACTGACTCAGATTGGGCGGGATGCCCCTCTGACAGAAAATCAACTACAGGCTATTGCTCCTTTGTGTGGGGAAACCTGGTGACTTGAAGAAGTAAGAAGCAACTTGTGGTGGCAAGGAGTAGTGCAGAAGCTGAATTCAGAGCTATGGCTCAAGGTATCTGTGAAGGAATCTGGCTTAAGAGGATGCTGGATGAAATCAGAATTCCCATCAATTACACTATGAGGATATTATGTGACAACAAGGTTGCCATAAGCATTGCGAAGAACCTAGTCCACCATGATAGGACAAAGCACGTGGAGATTGACCGACACTTCATTAAAGAAAAAATTGACCACGATATTATAAGTGTTGACCATGTTCCATCATGCAGACAAACAGCAGACATCCTAACAAAGGCTCTTCCAAGGAACACGTATGAAAACATTAGATCCAATCTGGGTATGATAGACATCTACCACCCAGATTGAGGGGGAGTGTTGGAGATCAGCGCATATCAATTAGAATCTATTGGAGATCAGCATATATCAATCAGAATATTCAATTCTGATTTGTACAGATTTAATGTTAATAAGATCAATTTTATTTCCCCTCCTTTAATTATTTAGATACAACATTTATAGGGAAAATTATTTCCCAGATTTTTAGGGATAGATTAGTGTGCAGATTTATTCCCTTGTATTCTATTTATACCACTTTTGTATTTTTCGTTCAAGGGGAGCAGAATTGAAGTGATAGAATCCCAACTTTTGGGATTTGAGCTAGTTGAATTTGCCCCAAATATAGAGCCAACCAATACTACACCTGCACCAAAGAAAACTACAGTAGAAAATGTAGATAATGCAACAAAATTTTCGGGATTTGAGCTAATCAAATATGTCCCAAATGCAAAATCAACCGAGACTGCACCTGTAGCAGAAACTAAATAGGAAAATATAGTAGAAACTGCACCAACTATAGCTAGAGAGAGGATTACATCTTAGTAGAATCAAAGCCCAGCCACACAAGGAGACAACTGGATAACGTATTTCAAGAAGAGAAGGAAGGGAGTAGATTCCAACATAGATCCAAGGCAAACTCAATTAAATTTGAGTCATACTCTCTTTAGCTGAAAATTTAGATTGACCCCTCTATCAACTAGACATCAAGAATGCCTTCCTGAACGGTGAACTAGAAGAAGAAGTCTATGTACAAATTCCCCTAGCACTTGAGTCATCTAGAACCTAAAGCATGGTGTGCAAGCTCTGAAAATCTCTATATGGCCTTAAGCAATCTTTGAGAGCGTGGTTTGATAGATTGACTTAAGTTGTCAAGGAAGACGGGTTCAACCAATGCCAATCAAATCACACTATGTTTGTCAAACACTCCATGGAAGGGAAGGTAGCCTTGTTCATTGTTTATGTTGATGATATCGTTATCATAAGAAACGATTATGATCAAATCAAGCATCTAAAGGGTCGTTTGGCCAAGGAATTTAAAGTCAAGGACTTTGGACAGCTCAAATATTTTCTAGGGATGGAATTGTGCTCGGACAAAGAATGGTATTTATGTATCACAAAGGAAATATACATTGGACTTACTTCAAGAAACCGATATGCTTGGATGCAAGGAAACCAATACTCCTATTGAACCGGAAAAGAGAAGTGAAAAAGAAAGTCCACCAGCTGATAAAGATAGATATCAAAGCCTAGTTGGGAAGCTAATCTACCTAACTCACACTAGGCCTGACATTGGTTTTATTGTGAGCTTAGCTAGTCACTATACATCTAATCCAACTAAGGCCCACATGAAAACGGTGAACAGAATCCTCCAATATCTCAAAGGTACACCAGGTTGAGGGCTCTACTTCAAAAAGAACTCAAACAGAAGCATTGATGACTATGCTGACTCGGATTGGGCAGGATACCCCTTTGACAAAAAATCAACTACGGGCTATTGCTCCTTTGTGTGGGGAAACATGGTGACTTGGAGAAGTAAGAAGTAACCTATGGTGGCAAGGAGTAGTGCAGAAGCTGAATTCAAAGCTATGGCTCAAGGTATTTGTGAAGGAATCTGGCTTAAGAGAATGTTGGATGAAATCAGAATTCCCATCAATTACAATATGAAGATATTATATGACAATAAAGCTGCCATAAGCATTGCAAAGGACCTAGTCCACCATGATAGGACAAAGCACGTGGAGATTGACCGACACTTCATTAAATAAAAAATTGACCATGGTATTATAAGTGTTGACCATGTTCCATCATGCAGACAAACAGTAGAGAATAAGTGTTGACCATGTTCCAGATTAAGGGGGAGTGTTAGAGATCAGTGCATATCAAAAAGAAAGTCCACCAGCTGATAAAGATAGATATCAAAGCCTAGTTGGGAAGCTAATCTACCTAACTCACACTAGGCCTGACATTGGTTTTATTGTGAGCTTAGCTAGTCACTATACATCTAATCCAACTAAGGCCCACATGAAAACGGTGAACAGAATCCTCCAATATCTCAAAGGTACACCAGGTTGAGGGCTCTACTTCAAAAAGAACTCAAACAGAAGCATTGATGACTATGCTGACTCGGATTGGGCAGGATACCCCTTTGACAAAAAATCAACTACGGGCTATTGCTCCTTTGTGTGGGGAAACATGGTGACTTGGAGAAGTAAGAAGTAACCTATGGTGGCAAGGAGTAGTGCAGAAGCTGAATTCAAAGCTATGGCTCAAGGAAGGGCTTACCATGTTGATGATTTCCATGCACTTATTAGGATTAGCTTCAATGCCCCTCGCTGACAGCATGAAGCCGAGGAATTTTCCCCCTGATACTCCAAACACGCACTTTTCCGGGTTAAGCCTCATGTCATACTTGCGCAACTGTTGGAATACCTCCGATAAGTCCACTATATGTCGATCAAGGTCTCTGGATTTAACGACCATATCATCCACATACACCTCCATATTCCTGCCTATTTGGTGTTGAAAAACTTTGTTCATCAATCTTTGATACGTTGCCCCTGCATTTTTCAACCCAAAAGGCATTACCTGATAACAGTAATTGGCCGAGTCAGTTATGAAAGCCGTCTTCTCCTCATCTCGGGAATGCATGGGGATTTGGTTATACCCCGAGTAAGCGTCAAGAAAAGTTAAAATTCCATGACCGGAGGCGCCATCGACTAACCGATCTATGTTCAGGAGTGGGTAGGCATCTTTAGGACATGCTTTGTTGAGGTTAGTATAATCAGTACACATTCTCCACTTTCCATTCGGCTTTTTCACCATCACTACATTTGCTAACCAAGTGGTATAATGAACCTCCCGAATGAACCCGGCGTCAAGCAACTTGGCTATCTCCGTTTCAACTGCAAGCTTCCTTTCCGTCCCCATTTTTCTTTTACGTTGTGCGATTGGTCTTGCTTCAGCACAAACTGATAACTTATGACACATAACCTTAGGGTCCACACCAGGCATGTCGGAAGGTATCCACGCAAAAAGATCTTTATTTTTCAATATAACCTTGCACAGGGCGGAATGATCTTCTTCAGACATGTCGGCGCCTATGTATGTAACCTGAACAGGATGTACACCGATCTGAAATTGCACTTTTGATTCAACTGGCTCCACCCGCTCCTCGATGTTCATTCTCGGATCAAGATCCCAAACAGACTCCTCCACTAGTGCCGAGGCGTTAACAACATGAACCCTTTTTGATTTTAACCTTTTCTCTTCCAATGGCGCGAGTCGCAAACTAGCATAGTAACACTCCCTAGCAGCCTTCTGATCGGCGTGAATTGTGATGATTTTCCCCTTATCAGATGGAAAATTCATCGCTAAGTGTGGTGTTGAAACGATAGCCCCTAATGCATTCAAGGACGGCCTGCCGAGGAGGATATTATACGAAGTGCTAGCATCAACCACAATATACTTCACTTGAACTTCTCTGCTTTCCTGCTCATCAAAACAAAAGCGCGTGAAGAGTTTAATATAACCCCTGGTACTTACCCTTTCTCCTGCAAAACCGACCAATGGATCATCATAAGGGAGCAATTCTTTTTCAGAAATGCCCAACTGCTTGAATGTATTCCAATATAATATATCCGCCGAACTGCCTTGATCGATCAATGTTTTCTTGACAATGCAATTATGAATTTCCACACTGATAACCATCGGGTCGTCTTGCTCTGGATCAATGCCCTTGAAATCAACATCAGTGAAGGTTATTGTTGGTAACCTCCGAGAAGACTGTCTATGAACAGTATTAACCGACCGAATTGCTCTGAGATGCCTCTTTTGAGCCAAAGAAGTTGAGCCTCCACCAGTAAACCCTCCTGCAATGGTATTAATCACCCTCCTATGCGATGGTGCCGAAGTATCTTTTCTTTCACGCGACCTGCTTCTTTCACGCGACCTGCTTCTTTCACGTGACCTGCTTCTTTCACGTGGGGCTCTATCGGAACGGTCCTGCCTACGCCGATCCTAATATCTAGGTTGATATGAGCGAGTTTGAGACGACCCTGACCGATCCACAAAGTTATGCAATTTGCCTTGCTTAATCAAATCTTCAATTTTGTCTTTAAGGGTTGCACATTCATCAGTAGAATGTCCATGATTGCGATGATACCGACAAGATTTACTAGTATCCGCTCGTGGTGGAGTGGATGCTCTTGTCGGAATTGTCAACACTTCTGAAACTAGAGCTTGCTCAAGCACCGCAGCACGGCTAGTATTGAGTGGAGTGTATTGAGTGTACTTCGGACCCCGACTAGGCCGATCCCGAAGAGATATCTCCTTGCCTCGCCCCCTGTATGGCTGTTCTTCCTGCTTTTCTATCTTGCTCGACGATTCAGCTCGGGCCTGATTACGATACTCCGCCAACTCTTCCATCTGCATGTACTTATCAGCCTGTCTCCTTAGATCATTCATGTCCGAAGGTGGCTTTTTACAAATACTATTGACAAACGGCCCCAGTTTTAAGGCTGTTGTGAGATGATGCAGTGCGACGGCAAGATTAAGATCCCGAATTTCCAAAGCAGCCTTGTTGTACAGGTAGGGGGGTTCGGCCACCACCCCATCGGTTTTGTCCTGCTTAAGACCAACCAGAGATAGAG